CTGAAATTGCAGCAAAATACTAAATTACATGATCAAATAACAAAAAGTTGAAATCTTGGGATAAAAAAAATACTACAGCGTTAAACCAGCAGGACTAAAAATGCAATTTTGCCGAAAAGCAATGTAAATAAATATGACAATTTACAAACATAACTATGCATTTTTATGTTTTTTCATATTGGTATTAAAAAAAAAAAATAGTATTGGTAGCAATAATTAAACCATAAAAAAATATTAATTGTCAAATTAGTTAATTAATTACCTTGCACATGCAATGAGCTGAATCACAGACCCAAACAAAAGAAAAGTGCAGTTGAAAAAAAGGCCTATGTTTCTCCAGTGTTTACCCAGCAGCCCATCAAGAACTTCAAACCACTACACCATCACAAAGCAAACAAACAAAATCATTAAAACTCAATAACAATAACTAAAATAAACAACATCATTAAATAAAGGAAGATGCTATGGTCCTGTTACAAAACTATTCCATCGGGGTCTGTAACCGTTAGATCATCATATAACCGTTGGGGATATGGTTCCGTAACGGAACCGTAAAATCTCCCGTTAGTTAAACTCAAGAACTATTTGATTAAGATTGCAAAAAATGATTAATAACAAATACATTATACATACCTGAATTACATGATTCCTAAAATCAACTTTCTCCCTCTCTTTTCGAGTTCGATACTCGACGTAAAGCACGCTTATAAGATACGCGGTCCAACTCCCCATTAGGCCATAAAACAGTTGAAATATAATCCCAGATAACATGCCAAGTTGCGAAAATGAGTAAGGCAGAGTAAGAAGCACTTGGGCAACCTTAAAAACCAACAAAAAAACAAGAAAAAAAAAAAAAAGTTAGTATCTTTAGACTTTTTTCACAAGTCAAAAGTAGTGATTTTAGTTTAGACAACGAATTAGTCGGGGCAGGGCATAGCTTCGGATGCCGTGGCTGGCTACCGGAAAAAAAAAAAAAAGTAGTGATTTTAGTTGAGACAAAGGAAGTGCCTGATTAGAAGCACAACTAAACCAAGCATCATAAACAGAGCCACCATGCCAAAAGATGTTTGATAATTTGGTCTTGGCTGAGCCTGATGATTTTCTTCTTCCATCTGATTCATCTCTTTCCATTTCTACATAGTTTGCAACTACAGTCTCAACTTTCTCAGAAGCCATTTTAATTTTGTGATGTTTTTGATAATATTTTGTTTTTTTTTTCAGAAGCAATGAAGGGGGTGTGTATAACTTGTGAAGGAGTTTCTGATGATTATATAATAGAAGGGAAAACAGTGTGTTTGTGTGTGTGTGTGTGTGTGTGTGTGTGTGTGTGTGTGTGTGTGTGTGTGTGTGTGTAGGTGTGTGTTATACTTTTATTTTGATTTATTTTATGTTTCTACTTCAAGTTGAGTGGTATGTGCATTTCTTTCTTTTGCATTTTTTTTTTTTTTTTAGTTTTATTTTGTGTTGTTTTATTTGCAACTATATTGTGTTATTTTTTGAAGTGCGCAAAGTTGTTGGTTGAACTTTGTAAATGTCATGTAAAGTACACATGTGTTGTTTATCTTATGTATAAGTATAACTATATTCGATTTGGATTTTTGCAGTCATTCAGAATTGTATATTATGTTTTATCCCGTTTTAATGTTGTTTATCTTATGTATAACTATACGGTTAATATTATAGAACTGTCGGATCATGTTTATATGATGTATACATACAGTATATCTGATCATATACAGCTAATCGGGTTTTTTTTCCCACATAAATCCCGTTTCGAAATTTAAAATTCGTGGTTACCTGAATTATAGGTACCAGAATCGGCATGTTTATTTACTTTTTTTTTTCTTTTTGGATTTCTGTTCCACATGGGTTAATTTTGGCTATTTAATTCCATTAACAATATATATATATATAGAGAGAAACAAATCAAGTGGTAAAGATTTTTATCTCGTAGATATGAAATAAAAATTATATCGTATACATATAAATAAGTCTCACAAGTTTTACCAAAAATAAAAAATAAGTCTCATAAGGGGTATATGTATGTAAATTTCCCAAAAAAAAAAAATCTCTTTTCAAGTGGGCCGGACAGTGAGGCTGAGGGGCCTTGCTTCGCTCATGATCGCACGAGCGGGTGGCCCATGATACACTTTCTAATAAAAGGAAGCCCATTCTACTTTTGCATTAATAATTATGTTAATTTTGTTTTTTTGAATTATTTTATTATTCAGAGAACCATAGTGGTGTTTTAGATTAAATAAAATTAGGAAAATGTGGAGATAATGATTGCAAAGGGGATAGGATTTTAGTGCTAAACATCATTAATGCCACACGTGTGCCAACTGGATTCACTAAAGATGTATGTTTAAAAATAAATTAAAAAACAAAAATCCATCTTTTTTGAAAAAATTTATCAAGACCAGATTTTTTGTTAAATAAAAATAATGTATAAATAAGTTCTTAATTATTATTGTGTATGAATTTCTGCTGTTTGTCTCCCAAATGTAGTTCATCTAATCATGATCAACTAGTTGGGCTAAGATATTTTAAAACAAGAGAGGTGAGTGAGTGAAAGTTAAAGCATATAATATAGAGAGATATTACAGTCTTGTTACGGAACGATTTCGTCGTGGTTTGTAACCGTTAGATCATCATGTAACCGTCGAGGATAGTTAATCTAGAGTAATGTTCATCTACCTACGGTGGACACATGTTAATATGTCCACCGCTTATGTGGCATGCATACATTGGTGATGTATTTTTTTTGAACATATTAACATCATCAATGTGTGCATGCCACATAAGCGGTGGACATATTAACATGTACCCACCGAGGGTAGAGGAGCATTATCCAGTTAATCTAACGGTTACAAACCCCGATAGAATAGTTCCGTAACGGGACCGTAGCATTTTTCGATAATATAACCTAAATAAGTTTAATTGACTGATTATAATTTGTTTATTTTTCTGCACCAAACATAAGTTTATTTTTTCAGTTTTAACACATAATTTCAAACTAAGATGTTATTATGCAACAAATAATGTATTAAAGAAAAGTATAACATACCGCGACACAGCTAGCGATTTGGTTGTTTCATATAAGAATTTGTATTTATTATTAGTTAAATTCATTAAACGAATATAAATTACCCAACGCTTTTCTTAGTGATTGTTTGGAAGCAAAAATATAAAAGTCCATTTTCGCAAATTGATGTTGCAAAATAAAATTTTCAAAAGTCTCAATTAAAATTAACTTTTTGAAGTTTCCAAATGCATTACAAGTGTTTCCAATTATTTTTTAGATGGACTTTTGCAAGGTGTTTCCATACAATGCTATTTCGAAAAATGCTACGGTCCTGTTACGAAACTATTTTGTAACCATTAGATTATCATGTAACTGTTAGAAATAATTGATCTAACGGTTACAAATCCCGACGAAATAGTTTCGGATCATAGCATCTCCCTGCTATTTCATACTCCAAAAACAACATAAAAATTAAGAACACCTTAAAGGCTTCAGCTTCTGGCAACACAAGACAACTCAGAACAATTTGAGCCAAAAAAAGAACAAACTAAGAACACACAGCCAAACTACAAAACAACTAAAAACCCATATCAGATTCAAGAATCAAGAATGACATTACCAATCACCCAAAACTTCAAAAAAAACAGCTGCAGAGTTTTACTATAACAATTAACCACCAAAATTAATACTAAACAAAACACCTACACACTTTAATCACTTATCATCACCATCCTTTTTGTACTGTATATCATCAAACTCACTCCAAAAACTCATCGTGCGCAGAGTACAACCCCTCCAAAGCTTCAAGGTACAACCCAATCTCTCCTACCTCCTGCTCCCGGCCGTTTTCTCCTTCTCCTTCTCCTTGCTTAAGCTCGCAAGCTCTTCAATGAGCTTCCTCTCTTCTCCACTCAGCCTTTTCGGAATTTCGACCTGCACTTTCACCAGCTGATCTCCTCTCATATTCCGCTTATTCAAAAACGGGACCCCTTTTTTCGCCATCACGAGCGTCGTCCCGGGCTGCGTGCCACCCGGGATTTTCAGGTCAACCGTCCCGTCAACAGTCGGGACTTTGACGGTCGTCCCGAGTATCGCGTCAGTGTACGGTACTTTACACGTGTAGAGAATGTTCGTATCGTCTCGTTTCAAAACCGGATCTTGCCGGACTTCGATCACCACAAAGAGATCGCCCGGCGGGCCTCCCCGGAGGCCCGCGTTCCCTTCCGACCGGACTCGGAGCCGGCTGCCGGAGTCGACACCGGCAGGGACTTTCAGACTTATACGTTTGGTTTTCCGGAGGCGGCCGTTGCCAGAGCAGGCGGGGCACGGGATGGAGGTCTCGCCGGAGCCGGAGCAAGTGGGACAGGTGGTGACTTGCTGGAAGACGCCGAGTGGGGTACGGGCGGAGGACACGACTTGGCCCTGGCCGCCGCAGGCAGAGCAACTGGAGGGTTTTGTGCCCGGTTTGGCGCCGGATCCATTGCAGGTCGGGCAGGAGTCGAGTCGGGAGATTTCGATCTCTTTTTCGATGCCGAAAACGGCGTCCTTGAAGTCGAGGACGAGGGTGTAGACTTGGTCCTCGCCCTCGACCGCTCGGCTGCGGCGGCCACGGCCGCCGCTGCCCATGCCACCGCCGCCCATGCCCTCGAAGAGGGTCTCAAAAAGGTCGAATGGGTTGCTAAAGTCCTGTGCGAAAGTCAGAGAATTTTTTTTTTAAAATTATTATTATTATGGAATATGGAAAAAAAATCTCTGTGTCGTTTTCGTTTGAGAAGATTTTTTCGAGACAAAATTGCATTTTTAGTCCTGCTGTTTAACGCCATATAACAATTTTAGTCCCAAGATTCTAACATTTCGCCTTGCCTTTTAGTTCTATGATTTAATATATTGCTGTGATTTCAGTCATTTGAGAACTGAAATTGCAACAAACTCGCAAATTTATATATTTTTTATTAACAATTTAAGTCCTATAATTTATAAATTTGTTGAAATTCCAATCACGTAATTTAAAATTTGGTTGCAATTTCAGTCCTCAGTTGCACCAAAATATTAAATCACATGACCAAAAGTGAAAAAGTAGGAACCTTGGGTCTAAAATTGCTATGGCATTAAACAAACCGGACTAAAAATGCATTTTTGACTTTTTTTGATGAATATTTGATTGGATATGGAAAACTTTCAAAAAATACATTATTCATTCTCTCATTTTTTTCCTCCTCAATTTCACCAACATGATCTCAAATAATAAAGACTGAGTTATTTTATAATATTCAACAAAATTCACTAATCGGCCACCAAAGTATTTCTATGGAGTTTTATCAATACAAGACTCGAAAGATGGGTAAGAACTATCAATGCGGGGCCTGAAAGATTTTTTTTTCTCAATTCGAGACCTAAATGTTATAAAACTATCAAATTAAGTCTTAAAATTAATAAAACTCATAACACCATTAAATTGAGAGTTAATTTGAAGTTATAAAACACTAAATTAAATTGAGAGTTAATTCGAAGTTTTAAAACACTAAATCTATTACAAAGTAAAAAAAGAAAAAAAAAAGAAAAAAAAGAAAAATGAATAAAATTAAGTAAAATACGAGATATGTTGGAGAAAATTAAGAAAAATATGAAACTCTTACTCGGTTTTCTTGTTATCGTCCATTTTTTTTTTTTTAATATTATGAAAATGTTTACTTATTATTTTATGTGAGTAAACACCAAACTTTTTTTTTTAAACTCTCAATTTAATGGTGTTATGAGTTTTGTTAATTTTAAGACTTAATTTGATAGTTCTATAACATTTAGGTCCCGAATTGAGAAAAATCTTTCACGCCCCGCATTGATAGTTTGTCCATCTTTCGGGTCTTGTATTGATAAAACTCCTATTTCTATCTACCAATCATTCTAAACATTATTTTACTATTTTATATCACATCAACTTTAATGATTATATTTTTATCGTATATTTATTCCTCCTATTTTGCATCACATCAACGTTTTCCTCTGAGTAGTTTTTTCAATGAACTTGTGATTAGATATGGAAAACTTTCGAAAATACATTAATTCTTCCTCTCATTTTTTTTTTCTCCTCAATTTCACCAACACGATTAAAAAAAAAATTAAAACCGACAATTATCTTATATTTTCCAATAAAATTCACTATTCGCCCATCGCCCATCGCCCCATCCAAGTATTTTATAAGTATCAATCATTCTCAAAAATTATTTTACTATTTTGTATCACGTCAACTTTAGTCATAATATTTTCATCCTATATTTGTTCACAATCTCAAAATTTTGATTCATTTTTTTCCAACACTATTATCCTACAAAACGATAAATAATCTGTAATCAATCGCTGCATCTTTCTCTTTCTCTCTCGTTTCTTTCTTTCTTTCTTTTTTTCCCTCTCTCATGACTCGGTTTTATAATAACTATACAGCAAAAAATGCTTACCCCCATGCCCATGCCTGCTCCTTTGAGACCTGCTTCCCCATATGTATCATAAATCGAGCGTTTCTCATCATCAGATAAAACCTGTTACAGCGAATAGTTTGTCATATATCGATAAATAGGCCTTCAAATTGTATCCAACCGTTAATGGATTAAGGATAGTGTTATTGTAACCTCGTATGCATTACTTATCTCCTTGAACTTTTCCTCTGCACTAGCTTCTCTGCATTTGACATATAAATACCATCAAAACAGAATCTTATAAGAAACTTAGATTTCACTTATAATGCTCGTGTAGCTTTCAAGAGCGAAATTCATATGCTTCGCTGCTTCATGCATATTGCCTAACAAAAGCCAATAATAAAAAAAAAATATATAATAAAAAAACGTGATTTTTTAGGACTTACTTGTTCACATTCGGATGGTAACTCCTGGCTAGCTTTCGATAGGCTGCGGAAGAAAGGAAAAGCAATTGATATTATTTTTATTAGTTTCTCGTTAAAAGAAGGAATGAGAAAAAATATAATGTTCCACCAAATAAAGCATACAATTCTGCGAATGCAGTTTCAAAGGGATATATTCATAAGGATATAGATCATAGAACCATTAACAATTAAACAATAATAAAAAAGCAAATAAAAAGATTATTTTATATGCCAAAGGATTTCACAGGAGACGAAATAGGAAAATCACATATAGCGTACACTATGGCGGGCATCATACCTAAAAGATAAAGAAAATTCAACTGCATATCCTCAAAATTCAACATGGCACCGAATGTAATCATTTTTTTTTTTCAACAATTTAACCCAGATACATAATTTCAACATAGTTGACACTAGCTACATACCGCTTTTGATCTCCGATTTGCTCGCATTCTTAGACACACCAAGTACCGAATAGTAGTCCTGTAGGTTAGAAGTAGATCATAAGCATTTCTACATATGAACAGGAAAGTATGAAAACACTATTCTCTTTTACAACATAAATTATATCCTAATAGCTATCATAAAGGAAGTACACTATTGTAAAAGCAAAAGAATAGAAAAGCTGAATTTTTGGATCCTTTGACACAAGCTTTGCAATATTACTATATCTTACTCTATCAGCTCTAACAACGAGCCGAGCTCCTCTTCTGTGACGTGGATTTTTGTATGTGCTTGAACTGAAAAGATTGCTAAGTGATTCTTGAGAAAAAATTGCAAAACTTTGTGATGCCACTGATTTGAGCCTACTCGATGAACTGCAAAAAAGGGAAGCATCACCTCTAACAACCTGCTCTACTATTATGCAATGACGATAAAACAAGAAAAAAAGAACAGAATTTTTTTAGGAGAAAACAGTCCACAAACATGGAAGGTTAAAGAAAAAAAAAAAAGAAAAGCAAAGAGGCTCTCAATCATGAAAACCAGTACAGTTAATGCATTGATTGAAAATAATAGATAATGAAGCTGTAAAAGCAAAACTCAGTGTATACAAATGTTCGCATACCGATCACACGTTTACAGAAAAGGAAACGCATAAAGAACATATTTAGTTTCCTACTAAAAAGACAAGGCAAACACTATTTACTTAAGTAACCTGCCCCTTATGCATTTTCAAATAATAATTATGGAAACCACTTATTGCACGCTATTCACTATCCCGATAATTTTTATTTTTATTTTTATTTTCTTGGCGCTTCAATGAATTTCCAAACTACTTAAATTAAATAGAGAATGGCAAAAATATGTTTTTTTTAAGCATGTACATTATTCAGCCCTGTCGGTTCTATTCGATTCAATATATTACAATAAACAAGATTCAATGTGGAGCTGGCAACTTCAACCGGACAATAATCCTTACGTAGCAGGTGTCAAAATCTAGCTTTTTGGCAAGAAAACTAAACTATCCAGAAACTTGGTTAGATGGCTCTACTTAACGAGTCCAAAGACATTCAAAAATCTGTACTTTCTATTTGAGCCTCAATACCGATTAAAATCATCTAAGTTAGGCCAGGAACCTCGTAATCTTATATAAGAGTTGCACCAAGATGTAAAGGATATAAATATTTTCAATGCACATCAACCACAAAGCACAATTTTTTTCTTAACAAGTAAAAATCCCATTTGCTCTCAACAAATTGTGGAGTTGGGGTATGCTTCTTCGTCCTGATTCCTTCAAACTTTCAAACAAAAAATAGCATTTAATTAAATAGATAAGTGACATATTCACACCAAGAACTCACCTACGAGAGGATGTACACAATTTATTTGTAATAGATGGTCTAAGTACAAACTGAGGTTGAACACCCCACCGGGTCACCAACGTACTCCCACACGGTATAATAGCCATTCAGCACCCTGTAATTTCAATGATTCAGATGCCCAAAATAAGAACCCTTTTCAGCAAACTACTGCAGAGGTGCAGTAACAAGCAGCTAGCTAAAGAGATACACATATTAAAGCTATTATGCTTACATCAAGAAATTAACTGCGTCTATCAAGACAACAAAACGAAACAAACAAACAAACAATACCATCAAAGGGGCCCCAAAAAATACTAAAATAAAATAAAATCTTGGTGATGTTGTGAGAATACCTTCAAGAATTAGAGGGGTAATGTTACATTGAAGCTTTTTGTATGAAAGATGCAAACTTTTTTATTTTTCCCAGAGGACCCAGAAGATTTTTCCAAATATATTCTTATGTTCTTGCTATACTATCCAACTTAATTCCAAATTAAGCTAAAAAAAAAAACCAAATTAAGCTATTCCAGTTTTTGTAGCATGAGAGCGTCTCTGTGTGCGTAGCTGTGAGAAACAAAACCTAGAAGCTGATAATTAATGGTAACTTGGTACCTTCTGAAGCTGACGCAGGGCCTCTGAAAATTGGTGGCCGGAGATGAAAACTGCGGGAGTCTGGTGCAAACAAGAAGCTGGGGACTTGAGAGAAGAGAGAAAAAGATAAATGTTTAAGGCGCTAGGGATTTGGTCAGTCGGGTCGGGCGTCTACTGCGAACCAGAAAATTTTCGGGTCGCCCATTTAGAATTTGATTGATTGATTATCAAAATAAATTTTTTAACTTAATATCTAACTTAATTTAACTAACTCAGCTATTATCAATTTTAATACATTATTCATTCATTTAATTTTAATTATGCATTATTTTCAATTGTCTATCTCATATTTTTTACATCAAATCAACTTTAATCGTTTTATTTTTACAAACTCAAAATTTCATTCAAATCTAACTCATTCAACATGTTCAAAGTTAATGTTGGTTATCCAACAAATCTAATCAAATCCAGCTAATTTATATCCAATCATCCTTTATGTGCTTAGTTGACTAATTTATGACCCAAGAGTAGAGCTGTTCTTAACGGAAACGATAGTTCGTGAGCTCAGATGAGCTTGTTAAGGCTCAAGTTTGAGCTCGACTCGTTTAGCCCATTTCATTAACGTGTCGGACTCAGCTTATCTCGATAAGGCTTAAAAGAATTTATTTATATAATTTTCTTAGTTCGATTCGTTTAAACTCGAGATCGGTTCGTTAAGACTCAAACTCAATATAGGCTCGATTTTCTGACTTGTTTACTTAACAAGCCTAACTTGGATAGCTCGTTTACAACTCGACTCATGAGCTGTATTTTATTTTGTAGCAACTTAAAAATGAGTAGTAGAGATTAGTGCTGTTAAATTAAACGAACCTGGCTCGGCTCGGCTCGAGCTCGTCTCGTTAAGGCTCGGTTCGGCTCGAGTTCGAAGCCTTAACGAGCCGAGCTCGAGCTCATTTAAAGCTCGTTCGAGCTCGGCTCGATAAGGCTCGTTAAGGCTCGAAAAGTAAAATTTATGTAATTTTTTATAGTTCGTCTCGTTAAAGCTCGAGATCATTAAGGCTCGAGCTCGAGGGCTTCACGAGCCGAGCTCGAGCTTGATTTTTGGCTTGTTTACTTAACGAGCCGAGCTCGACTCAGCTCCTTAAGAGCTCGAGCTCGAGCTCAAACACCTTAAGCTCGAGCTCGAGCTCGGCTCGACTCGTTTACAGCCCTAGTAGAGATCTAATCATACACACAAGTATTCTTGTATGTATTAGCCGGCGTGATCGTTGGACGGGTCAACCACGTAAAAAATTATAAATTAAATAATTATCCAGTAATAATAAATTAAGAAGGATAATATAATAATAATTTCACTAAAATATTATTATTATTTTGTATACTGTTGATCAATCTATTGTTAAAATTATACTACCTCCTATTTTAAATATATGTCATTTTGGGAAGTTGTACATTAATTAAGAATTTTTTTTGTCAATAATAACCTTATTTAATGAAGATAGAGATGAATGTTTTGAGAAAAAGTAAAGAGTGAATATGAAAAGACGTAATTTATTTATTAAATAAATGAGTAATAATGAAAAAATACGTACAAAAGATCCAAAATGATATTTATTTAGTAAATAGTTGATAGAGCTAGAATGACATTTAAAAAAAATAGGAGAGAGTATAATTCAAGTTGCTTAGAGAAAAAGAAAAGTAAGAGCATAATTTAATATTTTAAAGTGTAATTTCAATTATAATTTAATTTTTTGTATGCTTTGAATGAGACACGTGGCCATCATGGATTCGCTATGTCCCGGGACATAGGCGTATGTAGGACGCAGAAAAATAAATACGCGAGTACTGAAATAAATAAGGATTGAAATTAGTCAATTACTGATCGGAGAAAAATGGCTAGCGCCGGCGGTGGTGGCGGCGGCGGTGGCGGAAAGGTGTCCTTCAAAGTCACTCTAACCTCCGATCCCAAGCTTCCTTTCAAAGTGTAAGCCTTTTTTTTTTCCCGCAATTCTTAAACAAAATCTCAACTTATTCGAAACCTGTGATTATATTGTCCTTTTCGCTTTGGGGAACAGATTCAGCGTGCCGGAGGCTGCTCCGTTCACGGCGGTTCTGAAATTCGCCGCCGAAGAATTCAAAGTGCCGCCGCAAACCAGTGCGATTATCACTAATGGTGGGAATCTTTTATACATCGTCCGACTTTTGTAAATCTCAATTTTATCAGTTTTTCATGAATCTTTGTAAATCTCAATTTATCAGTTTTTTTTTTTTATGCATACTTATATAAACTGCCTAATATAAGACTTTACTGTTTAAAGTTCGAATCTTTCATGATATTGTGAAGTTTGAAGGCCCCAAAGAATATTTTGAGTCTCTTTGCTTAATCTGAATCTGTTTGTTGTGTTTATATGCAGATGGAGTGGGAATTAATCCTCAACAGAGTGCAGGTATTTTAATTAGATTTTACTTCATTAGCTAGTTTTCCTTTTATTTTATTTTATTTTTTTGTTTATTTGTGTTGGGTTGCTTGATTGAACCGAGGTTGATGATAGACTTGCACTGCTTCTTTTGGCTGCTTAGAGAATGTTAAATATGTTATGGTTATGGTTTTTCTGTTTCATATAAATTTTGTCGTCAGTTTGGAAAAGAAAAGAATGTTTTCTTCTGAAGTTTTTCGGGAGAACTCTATGTCGGCTTGATTTAGTTTGCCCGAATCTATGTTTTTTCCGTCTAAAAGAGCAAACTTGGATTGAAGTTCGATCCTTGGCCTTTTCATATTGCTGTCTTCTTCGGTTTTTTCTGTGTATAGTTAATTGCAACAATTTTGCATGAGGTGTAGACTCTAACTACAAGATAACCATTAGTCATCTTCCAAAATTTTAGATTCCCTATTATAATACACATAAGTGTATCCTTATGCATCGAAACTAAAAACCTAACGGCTAACTGAGTATTGCAATAACATAATTGGAAACTAACTAAACTTTCGTTCTTTTTTTCTTTTCGTAATTAAGCTAAACCTCAGGGGCGACTTTTATGGTTCAGCCCTTATTTATGTCTGAAAGCACCATATTGTATCTATATGAACAGTTGATGATTCTCTACAGGTTTCCAGCTTCGTTTGAATTTGATATTATGTTAGTTGTCTGCATAATACATCATATAACTAGTCAAACAAATTTTAGTGTCTTGCTATTTGTTTCAACTTTCAACATTCTATGAATATATTTAGGTTGTGATGTCTATTTGTGATTACCTTCATTTTCCATTTGGATTTCTTTCAGAAGTCCAACTTCCCTGCATAATCTTATGCCTGATTCGAAATCTTGAATTGGTATTTTTTTAACACTAATGAATCTGAATGATTTTTCTCAGGGAATGTGTTTCTTAAACATGGCTCAGAACTTCGCCTGATCCCCCGTGACAGGGTTGGTGGTTTGTCGGCTTCCGGCGAAGTTTAGGCCTATTTTTCTCTTTTCTTTTCTTTTACTTTTCCTTTTTCCTTTTTCCTTTTTTTTTTTGGGGTTATCCAGCTGTTTTTACAACTAACAAACATGGTTGTAAAACTACTTGACTTTTGGATTCTGGAATTTATGTTTTGATAATATATATACCTGAATAATTGATGGATGAAAATTTATATTAATGGATCATATTCATGGACAAGTGAATCAATTCTATTGCTGATTGGTGTGTGTATATCCATGGGGGCCATTGGATCACAATGACCTCTGCATTGTGGTACTATCAAAGTTCTGGTGATGAATAGATTATGATTCTCTTTTTTTTTTTTATGATTCTTTTAGCAGTACTTTATAATTGTTATTCACGTGACGGAATACTTGGAAATCATATTAATAGGTACTACAATATATAAAATTTCTGTTATCCGCAGCTATTGAAAAAAAAAATAATAATAATAAGAAGAGAAAAAAGAATCTGAATTCCAGCTCAAAACGATAGGAAACGATGAAAGAAAAGATAAAGAGAATTGCTAAAGAGCAAGAGTCGAACGAGAGCTGATTTGATACTATAATGTCTCAAATTTTACTCTAGAGCCCATACAGCCATGGATGATGGAACAAAGTTTTGGTTTTTTGTTATCACCTTCAAATTCATATTGATCCCAGAGTTTCGTTCTCTTTTTTTTTTTTTTTTTTTTTTTTTTTTTTTTGGTTTGGTTTGGTTAAAGTACTTAACAGAAATTGCATAGTAAGTGAGTATATACACTATTAGTCTTCATGAAATGCAAGATAGTATCTGTGCAGGCAAGTCTGATATTCTCTCCAAGCAGAAGGCTAGTTTTTGCAGTAGAAAAATGAATTCCAAAAGCCTACAACAAAAAGAGAGAGAGAGAGAGAGAGAGAGAGAGAGATCATATATCAAAGAGGGTGATGTAACATCTCGCAAACACCTCAAACTCGCGTAAATTATAATTGCACAAATTATGATGCTATAAATTCATGGCCAATGCAACAAGATTCATTTTAAAGTATAGTATCTTGATAGTTTACACCTAAATATTTTTCATAGAATTATAAATAATAATATTAATAAAGAAAAAATGGTATACCTTTGACCTCTAATCAAATGCATAGGGATCATCCACATATGGATTCAGAGATCCTTCCGTAAACAGATCGCCAATGTTGGCGGGATTGGGGTGGGCCCCACCTTTGACTGCCTGGAGCAAATAAATAAATTTAAAAAAAAAAAATGTCTTCAGTATCAGCACAAGCTAACAAAACAGAACCCTTCTGATGAATTCATTTGCAAGCATGGTTTTAACTTTTAAGTTGACATATAGTGCAGATTCTTTAGTGTAACTTCTTTCTATTGCTAGTAACAGCAGGATTCATTTTCAATATAAGGCCGACTGATTTGCGAGCTGCTATAATGGGATAAAAGATGTTGGGAGCAAAAGATATGTGTCTGCAAATAAGTAAATCACTGTTTGGTTTATAGTTTATCCACTTGCCTGGGTAATTTGTTTTGGGGTCTTTGCTTTTGGTGTCTCTCTCCTCCCCTGCTTCCTCGGATCCTGTGAAAAACAGTAAAAGAAATTTATCAGTTTGTAGTTTTTAGCTACAAAATAAGAAAATTAATTGGTTATTGGGTAGGTGATGGAATAATAAATAACTACTCACCCCGAACATGACTGTGCTTTTAGTTTTCCTCCGCTTTGTGATTGTTCTGCCATTCGAGGTCTCGATTTCATATTCATGGTGAGTCACCTGTTAATTATGTGTCAGAAGTCAGAAAGAAGAACATTATCGATGTATTATTCACATGAAATTACACACAAGTAGATCGAATAAATTTCTCACCTTCCGGCTATGCTTGGGCAGATCATTCGGATTCTCGACATTTTTTAACAGGTTCGAAACTGGAGTTTCTGTTGCTTTCAGATAAGGGGAATCCTGCAAAGAAACATCAAGATGCAAATCATTTGCTACCAAATATGTGAGGGGAAACAGAAAATAAAGATTAGTTTTAACTGAAGTCACCTTTTCCACGATGTCTGTTCTGTCAAGCGGACGCTGAATTCTGTCACCACTGCCTTTAGTTCTCCTCTTGGAGGGAATATAGTTCTGAGAAATAATCAATTCATCAAATAATATTTTATCGTTCGAATGTATTAGTGCCATGAGAACTGCAGTATTTGGAAATCTTTGTAACTGAGTTTTAGAATATTGTGAAGTCACCTAATCAATTACAAGTCTCCTCAGAATCACCTGGACTATATACCTATAAACTTTGTATGATTTTAAACGATTAATCTGATCATGTGCTCAACTAAATAGTACCCAACAAACTAGGCCTTTCAGTGAGAATTTTTCACCACTTAAAATATTATGGTGTGATGTCAGTTTTACTTAAACTTGGCAAGTTACTAATTAAAACAGTTAAGTTGGCGGAGAAAATGCCACATAATCTAGTAATACTAAATGGTCGATGAGAAAACATTTACAAGATTGGAAGATTTTCTACTACCTGACCTGACCTGACCTGACCTGAGCAGATATGACGTCATTATAACTATTTGAAATCATGACAGCAGTTAAGAAGTAAAAGCCGAGTTTCCTCTGTTCTACACAGCAAAAATTCACGAATTGTCGGATACTGTATTTTATGTTGCAGCTCAGTACCTTTTTAGAAGTCACTTCTTGGTCGTCTTCTGGATTGTCACTCATTACTTTCCACTGCAGCTGCAGTAAGGCCCTCTGTCTCTCTTCCTGAGATAAAAAGCAACACTATTTAACATAATGGTAAATACTGTTTACCCAAGAAATTAAAGGAAAAATACCTTTGCCTTTTGAATATCCAACTCCTCCTGCAGTCTTCTGCACTCATCTTCCTGCTCGCACCTCAAAGCTTTTAACTGGGCTTCATGCTCAGACCTGAGTGATTTTGTTTTCTTTCGGAAAATACATAGTTAATGTAAATTGTACCCTTCCAATCATTTTTCAACTGAAACACTTAAGAGATGAAATACCTCTCTTAGTTCAGTTTCAGCTTGAAGTTGCAAGCGTTTTATTTCTTCAGTGTGCTTAGATGTGAGGCACATTTCTTTGTTAGCATGTTCCTGTTGAATGTTGCATACCTAGATGGGAAGAGATATAAATACAAAGACAGGATCACGTCAATCTCAGCACAACCTAGAGATATCTTTGTGTGTTTTACTATAGACAACATAACAGAAACTAGAATCAAATGGTGCAGAATGGCTGCATAAAGCATTGTAAAAATGTAAAACTTCACCATAATTTGTAATAGGAGTTATATTTATATACTTAATTATCTTTATATATATATATATATATATATATATATAAACAATCCATGATTAAGCGCTCACCATGTACTATCCTTTTATCCTAGATGCCTAGATGCAGAAAACGATATCTTAGCTTAATACACCCAAGGAGGTGATTAAAATGATTCTTTCCAGTTTAATTATCTTTAGTAGAGTAGAAGTGTGATCCTAAGTGCAAAATATGTTTTTTGTAGCTTTAGCAAAGAAATGAATAATATATAGAAATCTGAAACAGAGACAGCTTAGGAATGTAGCAACTATAAAGAATATATTTAAGTAATGACATAGGATGGGGAGAGATGCTTTAAAATATGGACATCATCTGTGTTTTCTACATTGGTATTAAGATGGTGAAAAGCAGGAAAAGTTAAAATTGACTCCGAGGACCGTATAGTTCTACACAAGTCAAAGTTGTAGGTCATTCCCAGTTATTTTCACTTCAAGAGTTTGTTTATTTTTGTTATCTTCTTGAACCTCAGAAGAGTGAATTTAACTATCTTCATCTTTTCATATTCTTCATCTCAGTTATAAGTTATATTCTATTGTTCACTCAACTAAAAGTTCCGTACTGAGTTATTGGTGGAGAACTTTAACATCAATTCAGTAGCATACCAGTAGAGCATGTTCTTCCTGCACCCGCAACAGATGTTGCTGAAATTCTTCTTTTTGCTCTTCTATCTTTTGCAAACTTCTGTTTTCCAAATCTTGGATAACTTTTTCTGCCTGAAAATTGACACAAAATCTTTAATAAAACTGAAGGAGAAACTCACAGAAGAAATTATCCGGAGTCTACCTTCTCTTTCTCAAGATTAACAGTCTCCTGTTTCTCCACCTCATACTTCCTTCGTATATCATTAATGGCCTGATCAGACTCCAACCAGATTAGATTATAAGAATCCAATCCAGACAGTAACAGATGAGCTGTAAGTCTAGAACATATAATAATAGGCAAAGGAGAAAAAGGACAGAAGAGAAGGAATACCTGATCATTTCTCTGAGATATTTCTTTCAAATGTTTAGATAGCTCCAAGTGTTTGCTTTCCAACATGTGATCGTGCTGCTTCCTGGCTTCCTCAAGCTTACTTTCAGCGTTAGCCAATGCTATCGTAATCTAAAAGTGACGACCATAATTTAGCGACAAATACAAGACCCATTTTATGTTAAATAATTCTGAGCACTCTATAAAATAAAACCTCGGCTTTCTGATCATCCAATTGTTTTTCTCGGGTTCTGAGTTCCACAACTAGCTGGTCCTTCTCCTCCACGGCAATCTCAAGCTCACTGATTTTTTTCTCAAGTGAATGTGAACTCTCTTCACTTCTCTCTACCTCCTTCTGCAGAAGATCAATTTCATCTTGCTTTTTAAGGACATCTGCTTTAAGTTCATCTGTAAGACCTTTGCTATTATTCTCCAACTCGGAAAATTTCAGCAACAAATCTTGCTGCAAGACACAGATTGAAATATTTCAGCCCATTTAATATAAGCTATCATTGTATATCTACTGAATGAGCCATCACCATATTTTTATCAGATGATCTTGACTTTTCTGCGGAAATCTTGAGGTTATCCTCCAAGGTGACTATCAAGGATTGCATTTCGGTCTGCTTAGTAACAAGATTTTCTGCTTCAGCTTCCAATTTCCGAATTTTCTCTTCTGTTAAACGGCATTCTTCTGCATGCTGCACAATGGAAAATTCCTGCTCCTTTTGAAGTTCGACAAGCTTACTGTTCAATTCTTGATTAACTGACTCTAGAGCAACTTTCTCAGATATAACAAATGTACACTTGTTGTCTATCTGATCAAACTTATGCTGAGCACACTTAGAAATAAGTTCTTTCTCCTGCTGAGCCAACTTAACATATGAATCAAACGAGTCATAGAATTGGTTGACTTTTTGGGAAAACGACAGGCTCTGGTCTTCCAACTCCCGGAACTTCACAAGCATCAGGGTGACAAGGTCTTCAAGATCCCTGATCTCTTTGAGTGCCATTTGTAATTTGTTAGCAAGATCATGTTTGCTGGAGAGAAGATCCTTGTTTTCTCTCTCCAAATTTTCCTTGGAGACACTCAATGAAAGCATGTCATCTTCTTTCACCCTCATTTCAAGTTGCAACTTTTCCATCTTACAAGTTAAACTTTCTAAAGCCAATTTGTTTGCTGCTACATCTTCTTCCAATTGTTTCATGGTACCATCTGCGTCAAGAATAAATCAATAGTTAATAGCAATTTATCAGAAAATTAAACAAGGCGAGGGTGAGTTTGTGTTGGGGGGTGCATGGAGCGGCATTCAGTACTCAAAATCTGGTAGTAAAACATTATATCTCTATTACCTTTTTCCTCAATCAGATGGAAAGCTCTATTCTGTTCATTTATAAATGATGTCTCCATTTTATCCTTTGCAAGGCCAAGTTCCACAAGCTCCTTCTCACCTACACACCAACAGTTGTAAAAAGAATATGTGACAACAGAAATGGAACAAAAATTGTACTGACAGTAAAACTCAGAACTATCCAAAAGCAAGCATCAAAGACTTTAGATATCAAGGATGTATCAATCACTCACGCTTTTTGATAGTTTCCTCTGAAGAGTCCAACCTCGAGGACATAGACTTCATGTGCTCATGCAATTTGTCAAGAGCAGCTGACGTTTCAGACAGCTTATTCTCGAAGAATGCTTTATCTTTCTCAGCTGACAAAGACATATCAGTAAGACATCATAGCATTTCGGTAAAATGTACAGATTATATATTCATGCATAGAGAACCTACCCTGATGAACCTGAACATTTAACTGCTGCAAAGTTTCTGTGAGTTGATCACACAGTATCTTCGTTGAAAAGAACTTAGACTCGAGTCCTATCCAGAGCTTCTCATCCTCTTTCTGCTTCACTTTAAGCTGTGCATTTTCATTGAAAGCATTTCGCAATTTCTCTTCCATGATACAAATTTGCTCCGTCAGTTTCTTGAGCTTAGAATTCTGCGATTTCAGACAAGCACAGCAGCTAGGTTCATAATTTATAGATAACCAATGTTACTTTAAAGATGCTTCCCTGCAATATATATTAGTTTCCAAATTGTCTATACATCCCAGGGTCTACTTAAAACTACACAAATGAAGATATCTATACAATAAACATACTTGGACGTTTATTTACAAGTAAATTTCCATATACACCACAAAAACATCAGAATAAAAACCATCAGTGCATGATTATCATAAAATCCACACGCACGTGTATAGTTATAATCGTGTATTCACATCGTATTTACACCAGAAACAGAGAATACAGTGTATATAGAACGAGAGACAGAGACTTTTGTGGATTCAATTTACCGCTAATTCAAGGTCAGTTTTCGCAGAAGCTTGTTCCTTCACCAATTTCTCTGAAACCAAAAGGTAAACAACGAAAATCAACAAAACACGCTATACATTCATCAAACGTATAAAAAAAACACTATAATCATGAAAAAAATCATTAGAACCTGCAGTAAGCTTCAGATTCGCAAAGCTTCCAGAAGAAACAGACTGTGAAGGCGCGAGCGAAGAACTTGAAGGCATCTTCCTCTCCGAAGATCCTGAGTTGAATCCAGGCGCAGATCTGAACTGTTCCAGGCCTTTTATGCCCGACAACCCTAGGAGTCTGCTCATTTTCGAGACGACAACAAAATCTCCGCACGAACCACTGAGCCGACCTAAGATCTTCAAAAACCAAAGGATCGGTTTAAGATTTCCAGAACACTAATCTGAGAAGAAAAAACAAATATACAGAGCTGTATTCGTCGAATCGCTTACCGCTAAGCTTCAGAGCACTCTGCCGGACTGAAATCGTTCAAATCGCGCGATCGGATTTTGAGGCTTCTGTAAGAACAACAATGGAAAATCAGCTCCGTGAGATTGAGTTTAAGAGCAAATGGAAGTGTATGAAAAAACCTAAAACTTCGATTCGTGAAATGAACTCGGATTTTTCTCCAGGTGAGTGAAGGAGCTCGGGTTCGAAAATGAAATAAGCGCGAATGGGTGTGTGCTATTTATAGTATCAGGAAAATGGCGTGGGACCAAATGCGTGAACCTTCTCCCTCTTTATTTTTCTTCCTCTTTATAGAAACACAAGTTTAATTATGAGAATATGTAGTCCAACTTAGGGCTGGGCAAAAAATTCGAACCGAACCGCTGAATCGTAGATCCGAATCGAAATCGAACTGAATTTTCGGTTAACCGGGAGACTCGGTTCGGTTACAAATACCTCAAATGAAGTATTTGCTCGGTTCGGTTCGGTTACGGTTTTTAAGATTTTTTTACCCCGGTTAACCGAACCGAACCGTATATTATATTAAAATTTATAAAATATATATTATATTATATATTATATATTATAAAATATATATTTTATTAAAATATATTATATATTATATATTATAAAATATATATTTTATTAAAATATATATTATATTATATTATATATTATATATTATATATTATATTTATATTAATGTTTTCGGTTCGGTTCGGTTCGGTTCGGTTTATTATTTGCGAACAAGCAGATTTGTGTTAGGTTCGCTCGGTTCGGTTCGGTTCGGTTAATTCGCGAATAGTAGGATTTTTTTCGGTTAACCGAAAATTCGGTTAACCGAGATTTTCGGTTCGGTTTCGGTTAGCGAGTTCGAATATTTGCTCGGTTCGGTTCGGTTAGCAAATACCTCAAAAAGTTCGGTTAACCGAACCGTGCCCACCCCTAGTCCAACTCATAGTTTCTTGACCCAAACCGGCCCGGTGGGTGGACTTGGGACCCGGTCGATCCGGAGTCGAAACTGATCCGGGTGAGCTATTTAGACCGAGCAACAAAGAATCCGGTCAAAACCCGACCAACTCGGCCTTGACCCGGTCGACCCGGGGCATTGACCCGGCCGGGTCAACGTATGTTTTTTAATTTTTTAAATTTTTTAAAATAAAACTATGTATGTATGTTTTTATGGTAAATATTTATTATTAGATACATATTATTAACACTTTAATGCACAAAATTTATACACAAAACATTTAATTTTGTTATTTTTATTTTTTATGTATATTTATATGACAAAAAAAACTCTATATATAATTTTAAAATTTTTTAAAGTAAATATCCGGTTAACTATTGACCCGGTGACCCGACGGTTGGATCGGCAATCCGGTGACCCGAAGACCTGTTCAGGATGATTATCGGGCCGGGTGTAAAAACTATGGTCTAACTCATTAGACGCATAGTCTGAAACTAAAAACACATACTTAAAATATACTTTTATTTTCATTTTGTTAACTATGTTTTGACAACCGACCTGGTCAAGCCAAACTTGTTAAGCATTGACTTCTAGCAACTCGGCTCATACCGGAAGAAAAATCGAGTTCACTCCTGCAGTAGCGACCGACTTCTATGCAACTGAGATTCCCTTTCAAAACCGAGATCTAAGGAAATCGAGGTCGAAAGCAGGTGATGGCGACGAGATCGCATTGGCTTATCTGGACAAGTTTGATCGCCTTCGTATCTAGTTATCTATAAAATTACGGTCCGTTATCGTTTCCCTATCCCTCGATTGGACGATCTTTTGGACCAATTGCACGGGGCCACCATTTTTACCAAGCTTGATCTCCGGAGTGGCTATCATCAGATACGTATTCGCCCGGGTGATGAATGGAAGACAGCTTTCAAGATTCGCGAGGGCCTTTTTGAGTGGTTGGTTATGCCGTTTGGTTTGTCTAATGTCCCGAGCCCTTTTATGCGCGTAATGAACCAGGCTCTGCGGGATCTTATCGGTAAATGTGTGGTCGTTTATTTCGACGACATTCTTATCTACAGCCAGTCGTTGGAGGCACACTTGGGCCACGTGCGAGAGGTACTTCTTATTCTTCGTGCTGAGTCCTTTTATGCTGCTCCGCTCAAATGTGTGTTCTTGGTGGATTCGGTTCTTTTTCTTGGCTTTGTTATTTCAGCGGATGGTATTCGTGTGGATGCCGGGAAGGTTGCCGCCATTCGGGATTGGCCGCCACCTACGACGGTTACTGAGGCCCGTAGCTTTCATGGCCTCGCCTCCTTCTACCGTCGTTTCATCTCTTATTTTAGTTCCATCATGGCCCCGTTCACAGACTGTATTGCCGGGAAGTCTTTTGTTTGGACGCCGCAGGCGGCCGAGGCCTTTGCACTGATCAAGGATCGTCTTACTTCGGCACCTGTCTTGGTTTTGCCTGACTTTTCTCGACCTTTTGAGTTGTCCTGTGATGCTTCTAAGGTTGGCATTGGGGCAGTTCTGAGTCAGGAGTCCCGCCCGGTCGCATTCTTTAGTGAGAAGCTTTCTGGCCCACGGCTTCGGTATAGTACTTATGACGTGGAGTTTTATGCTGTGTATCGTGCTGTCCACCATTGGCGCCACTACCTTTTTCACCGAGAGTTTATTCTCTTTTCTGATCACGAGGCTCTGCGCCATTTGGCGTCCCAGGACAACATCTCTTCGCGCCATGCCACGTGGACTTCATTTTTACAGCAGTTCACTTTCGTCTTGAAACACAGGTCGGGCACTTCTAATAAGGTGGTGGATGCTCTTAGTCAGCGTACCATGTTATTGTCTGATTTGCGCATTGAGGTGGTGGGGTTTGATGTTCTTCGTGACTTGTATGCTTCTCATCCTTTCTTCGGTCCTATTGTTTTTCGCCTTTCCGCTGGCCCGTTTGAGGATTATATGTTGGTTGATGGGTTCTTGTTTCGTGGGCTTTGTTTATGTGTTCCGGAGAGTAGCCTGCGCGTGAAGCTGGTGGCTGACTTGCATGGTGCGGGACATGTAGGTCGGGATCGTTCCGTGGAGTTGGTCCGTCGGTCCTTCTTCTGGCCTTCCCTGCGACGGGATGTGTCTCGTTTTGTCGAGCGTTGTCGTATTTGCCAGGTGTCTAAAGGGGGGTCGTCTAATGCGGGCCTCTATCGGCCTTTGCCCATTCCTACTCAGCCTTGGTGTGCCATCAGCATGGACTTTGTGGTTGGGTTGCCTCGCACTCAACGGGGGTGTGATCTTATTTTTGTGGTTGTGGACCGTTTCTCAAAGATGGTCCACTTTATCCCTTGCAAGCGCACGACGGACGCGGTTCATGTCGCCCAGCTCTTCTTTCGTGAGATTTATCGTCTGCATGGGCTGCCCTCGTCCATTGTCTCGGACCGTGATACCCGTTTTCTGAGTTTCTTTTGGCGGAGCCTTTGGCGGATGACGGGCACCCGCCTTGATTTCAGTAGTGCCTATCACCCTCAGACTGATGGGCAGACTGAAGTGGTTAATCGGTCTCTTGGGAATTTGCTTCGCTGCTTGGTCGGGGAGAATGTGCGCAGTTGGGACAACCGCCTCCCTCAGGCGGAATTTGCTCATAATTCGGCGGTGAGCCGGGCCACGGGCTTATCCCCTTTCCAAGTCGTTTATGCCGTCCAGCCACGTGGACCTTCTGATTTATTGGCGTTGCCGGGCCCGGGAGACGCTGATAAGCGGGCCGAGGACTTGTTGGCTGATTTGCGGCGGACGCATGCGGCGACTCAGGCCCGTCTCGAGCATGTCACGACAGCTTACAAGCAGCAGGCAGACCGACGGCGGCGGCATGTGGAGTTTGAGGTGGGCGATTTTGTATGGGCGGTCTTGACTAGAGACCGTTTTCCGGCTCACGAGTACAACAAGCTTTCGGCCCGGAAAATTGGGCCTTTGGAGATTGTGGAGAAGATCAACCCGAACGCCTACCGCCTTCGCCTTCCGTCCCACATTTGCACTTCCGACGTTTTCAACGTCAAGCATCTGGTTCCTTTTCATGGCGACAACTCTGACGACGAGATCCCCTTGGATTCGAGGGCGAATCCTCTCCAACCGGGGGAGAATGATGGCGACGAGATCGCATTGGCTTATCTGGACAAGTTTGATCGCCTTCGTATCTAGTTATCTATTATTTATAGCACTTTTATTTATTTTTATTTATTTCCTTTTTATTTATGATTTAGGATATCTATTACTAAATAAGACTAGGGTTTGAGAGTCTATTTAAAGGGCATGAGTTCTCATTGTAAAGCAGACATTAATTGAAATAAATTTTATCGTGAGTTCTCTTTGAGAGTTCTTTTCCCATCGTACGTTTCTCTTGCGTCAGCAGGTGATGAGGCGCCTACGCGACCAAATAATTGCCCCAAAAAACTTCATCATACCTGTGGGCCCAACTGCAATAAACCGCCCTCGTAAAGTCATTTTGCGTTAAATGCGGCCGTACCAACCTCGAACGTCGAGCCAACAAAAGTTAGTATATATAGCGGAAATTATTTTTGTACTCAAGGGCATTGTCCCTATTCGTGCGCTTCATCTCGTGGGACCGCACACTCTCCCCCGGTTTTAATATGGTATCATAGCGGGTCTGTCCTAAGACTTGCAATGACTCTCTCTACCCGGCCTGCTCTGGGCATGGACTTATCTCTCTACTCGGTCTGCTATGTGGGCTTGCGCTTATGAAGGACTCACAAGTGAGGGAGCGTGTTGGAATATCACTTGTGAGTGGTCCCACATTGATTCTAGGGAAATGAATCTAGTATATAATCCTAGTGAACTACTCCTCCCACTACCAATTAGTTTTAGGATGGAACCTTACTAAGGTGCACTTAGGCTTACCCTCTTATGGTGCGCTTCATCTGCGTGGGACCGCACCTGTTTTTCATTCGGTTTCTTACATGGTATCAGGTACCCGTTAACCCAGTTCGTTTCTAGTAGGGCTTGGGCACTCAACTCCGTATATGAGCTTGGGCTTCTTATAAATGACTCACATTTGAGGGGGCGTGTTAGAATATTCACTTGTGAGTTGTCCCACAACGTTTATATAGGAAAATAAGCCTAATTTATAAGTCTAATGGAATACTTCTCCTCCACTCAGTGGTGAAACCATTAAGGGGGTGGAGTGGCGCCGGCCCCTCCAAAAAAAAAAAAATTTAAACTAGAGGTGGAGGATTTTGCTGGAACTAGAAGATTTTCCTTTGAGCGCGCATGTTGGGCCCTCCCCGGTTTCATGCGGTACATACATGGTCGGAGGGACGCCACCGGTTTTGTCGTGAAAATATTTTTTAAAGGTAAATTGGGCTCTCCCCCAAACGGGATCCTGGTTTCGGGACAAGAAGAACTATAACAGCAGCAGAATTTAATAATTTTTTTATTTTTATTATATTTTGAGTTGGTTAATTAGCCGACTTGCAGTGTACCGACGGGACTCAACAACTGAGTCGATCATTACAAAAAAATACTTTTATAAAAGTACGGGAAGCGGAGAGTGCGTTGGTAGCATCGATTTATGATTTTGAGGTCCCGACCATTTATTTTGGGTAGCCCGAAGTTGAGAAAAAAGTGGCAGCGGCGGTGATTTTATTGTCATTTTCATGTGTAGACTTCGGGTAACCGTCGGCCCTCGTTAGGCGTGCTGAAAATTAGCGGGAGTGTTTTCTTGAAAGCACGAGAATAGTAGAAGCCGTTCGTAAAATTTATTTCACGTTTCGAAGTTTCGAGCATTTATTTTGAGAAGCTCGAAGTCGAGTGCGCATAATAGAAGAATAAAAAGCCGTTTTGCGGGGTCCCGTAAGGTTGCGTGTGACCTCGGTTTAACGAGAATCGAGTTGGAGCGTGTAGACAATTCAAGCACGATTCCATACGGATAAATTTCGCATTTTTTGAAGTTTTGAGCATTTATTATGGGAGTTTGAATTTCTGCGTTAAATAGTATCAAAAGGAGCAAATTTGTCGAGGACGAGTTCAATCGTTCGAGGCTTCGTTTTCTCAATTTTTTCAGCTTTTCGTCGATTCGAAATGAGGTATAATTTCTTGATTATTATTATAATTGAGTCCGAGATTTTTATAGTATAAATTCGAGTATTTTTCGAGTTAAAACAATTCAGTTTAAGTATACCAGTTTAATTCCGGACTTAGTTTGATTTTTAGAAAAATATCTAGAGTATTCCTTTATATCCTGCGAAAATTTTTGAGAGCGTCCACAAAAGCTCTTTGAGCGCCCTTCCGATGCCGGAGTGGGGGTGGGGCGCCGCGGGATGCCGGAGTAGGGGTGGTGCGCCGCGGCAAATTGGGCCCTCCCCGGGATGACCGGCTGGTTTCGCCACTGCCTCCACTAATTGGTTTTGGGATGGAACCTCACTTGGGCTTCATCTGGGTTTTCTCTGTCTTGTGGGTTTTCTCTGTCTTGTTGCGTTTCACGTCCACCCGTTTGTTCCCGTTTCTTACACAAAAACAGCTCGATTCTTATATAAACCGACTTCCTATAACGCATAGTCATCCATTAATAATACGAACTTCCTGCATTTCATACGTTAATTACACGTTATTATTGTTAAATCCCACATAACAACAGTGATATTTTCAAATGAAATTATTCATATTTACAACAACAAAAACAAAAAATATATATATATATATATCGGCTGGTTCTTAAAGTTGTAGAAAATGTAAACATGCATATGTGTCGGCTTTTGAGCAAATATTTGTTGCAACAACTTTTATCCCATTTTTAACGTTTTAAACAACGCTATAAGTACACGGCTTAAAAGTTGAAACCAAAAGTTTTAATAACATTTTGTTTTTGAATAGTTTTTTTATGAATAAATTTTGAGTGAAATATATAAGTAGGCCTAAAAAGAGATATATTAGTAACTATGCAAACACATATTTATATGAATTGATACATTGTACTATAATTTTTACTCTTTTATTATTACTAATATATGTACATGTATATGAATATTTTTATGTATGAATTGTTTATTTTCTTAATCTTATTATCTTATGATGTTAATGTCGTTTTTCAATATATATTTTCTTTTTAATGAGTTTCTCTTCATCAACAAATCTACTACATTAACAAATCATCTTGTAGACATTGTGCGGTAATATAGTTTCTCAAACTTTTATGAATTTATGTTCATCAATAGTCCACATTAGAATGTGGTATAGACTAATATTGCACATGGATCAACACTTTATTCTTAGTATCTTTTTTCGTATTTATTTTTCTTCTGAAAAAAGAAACATCATAACAATAACATGAAAAAGTACGGAAAACATAACTTAAATGCATTTTTAGCTTCATCAAGATCAAGGAATTTTCATGCAATTCTATATTACAATGCAAATATAGACTTCAAATTAGTATTTTAATCGAATTGAACGCGACAAGTTTTGGCGTTTCACCTTTGTATTAGTTTAAGTTCGAACATTGTTCGTGTTTGTTCGTTTATTTTTCAAGCAAAAAATCACGTTCGATCTCTTTCGTTTAATTTGTTCGTCAATGAGTTCATTCATGTTCAAATACTTTATGACATAGACTTTTTAAATATGTTTGATTAACTCAAAATATGTTCATTCGACGAACTTAAAAAAAAAAACAATAGAATAAAAATATTTTCATATTTTTTATTAAAAATATAATGTAAATATATAAAAAATAAAATAAAATAAAATCATATCAGATTAATGTTCGAGCGAACGAGCTCTTGTTCGTTCGATAATTTAACGAGCATAACTTTCTGTTCGAACTCGGGACGATTAACGACTCTTGTAGAACACGAACTAGCTCAACGAGCTTTTGTTCGCGAACGTTCGATTCATTAATACCCTACTTAAAATCACACTTCACACATATCATTCTCAATTTCTTGTACTTCACACTCCAACTTCCAACTAATTCTAACAAATAAGATCATCATACAAAATCAGCATCATGTAGAAACATAGCCACACACTTGCAATTCCCATGCATGAATACAAACTAAGAAGCTCCAATCAGTTGGGAACACAAGCCCCGAGCACGTTTTCTTGAATAATAAGAACAAAATACTTCAAGAAATTACGCCCTCTCAAGACCCCGGATTTTTGTCGCCCAACAAAGAAAACCCCTAAACATTGAAACAGAGCTATAAAAGTAATCCACCCTTTAGTAAAGCACAATCAAACCTCATCCTCATGGAGCAACATATTTGGGATCCCTTTGTTGACAGGGAATTTACGGCCCGTCTCGGGACAAACCAACGCGCCTTCCTCGAGATGAAGCTCAAGAAGGGCATGGTGGAACTTGCGTAGAAAATCATCCGAGTCGAGCATTGTGGGCTCTGCCTCGTCGGGAAGCTCGGAATAGCCTAAGGTTCTAGAAGCATCCACTAGTGCCTTCCATTCAACTTTGGCAAACATGTTCCGGAGGAAGTCCAGGTTCTGCTCAACCTCCCTTTGCACCACTTTTTCCACCTCTATTTTCAAAGGGTATCCGTTGGTCACGCCTTTGATGTTCGACGAGAGCATGTTGTGAGTTAGAAGCCTCATTTGTTAATTCCGGGTAAGTGCCTGAAGTTAAAAGTTCAAACTTTTAAAACTCTACAAATTCAAGAGAGAACGATATTAAACAATCTTAATTATATAGAGAACGCTCGTGACATTTGAAACATCATACCCCATTCGCGAGGCTTGTATTTTCACTATTTTTCCTAGCAAACAAATGTTTATGCGGGTAAAATATACTAAAACGAGAGAGCTAATATTTCATAAACTCTAAAGGATAAACTACAAGGGGCACTTCGCAACACCAATATAACAGACATGATGAGTAATTACAGAAAAACAAGAAAATGCATTTGGAGCCTAAACAAGTCAATAACTGCAAAAAGAAGCCAATTGTACAAAACCTAGCCTCTTTTTGAAAAATCATCACAAGTATGAAAACCCAATGAAAGATAGAATCACAAGTATCATAATCTTTACTCTACTACAACACACAACCAAAATTGTTCTACAATATACCATTTTGAAACACATAATTTATTTTATATACACACATAATTGACTACTAAAAGCCTTTCTCACCCAACTGCCAAAAAACAAAATCAAGAAAACGAGAACATAGTGTTTCAACTTTAGCGAATTTCGAAACATACACAAAAAAAGATCAATATGATTGATTACAGGTCTTATCCCCAATCTGAAGCCGAAATAAGGATACAAATTTTTAAAGGATCTAACATCTAGCATAACTAGCTCAGTAACTTGCCTTATAAACAATTGAAACACCAGAAGAGAGAGCTCGTCGTCGCTGGTCGGAATCGCCGGAAAATATATTACCGGTGGCTGGAAGCTGATTGAGAGAATCTAAGGGACTAGGGTTCAAAGAGGGAAGAGAAGGACCGAAGAATAATGACACAGCTTGCTGAGCTTTGCTTGATTTTGGGTCTGGGTTACATGTATAAAAAAGGCTGATTTACACATACTAAACAACGGGCTAACAAGGCCCGCACCTAAACGGGCCTACAAATGCAATCCCATAAAAAGTTTTGTGGCTATTTTACATGTTTATTAATTATATACATATATATATGTTTTTTTAATAAAAAAAAATATGCTTTAATATAAATCAAATATAAATCATTCAGAAACGAATTATAAAATCTATAAATAATGCAATTAAGGGTCCCAATAAAAAAAACACCACAAATCTACTATCTAAAACAATGAAAAGTTTGTATATTCTTTTTCGTTTGACCAACTTATTCTTCCAATCTTGCTGGTCTATTGCCAAAGATCATCTGTGTGCAACCATTTCTAACTTCATTCGAACTAGTAGAATGCCCTGAGGGGTTAATCACACTGTGTTAACTCTTATTCCAAATAAGAAAACTCGACGTGTGTTTTTTTATTTCAG